AAAATCTTCTTTATTTTTGCAATGTATGGATAATATACTAGCCACATAAAGAAACTGTGCACGGAGAAAATATATTCTGGATTGAAATACAACACAGCAAGAACAAAATGATGCAGACGCTGTAGCAGCTGAATGATCGAACCATAAGAAAATGTCAACGGGACCTGAACAACATCTGTTACGATGACGTCAGAAGATCAAAATGGAGTAGGGGATCATACAACAAAGTCACAAAGTCAATAAGGGGTATGACCACCCTGTGCGTGAATCCATCAGTGCATCGGCGATGCATGGAGTCCACCAAATGGGCATGGAAGGCCTGGGGAATGGCCTGCCATATCCTCCTCAAATCCTGTGCCAAGTCACGGATGTTATCTGGGGGATGTGGAAGACGACGCAGATTGGGGAGAGATCTGGAGGAACTGCAGGCTGTGGCAGTAACATGACATTGTTATCGTGAAGGAAATCCATTGCGACCCTAGCCGTGTGAGGACGAGCGTTGTCCTGTTGAAATGTCAATCCCGGGCCATGACGTTGCAGGAAAGGAATGACCACAGGCATCAGAATCTGATCTCTGTAGCCAACACCGGTGAGATTGCCCTGAACAACCACCAAAGGGGTTCGGTGCCGTGCTGTTATCCCACCCCAAATCATCACAGAGCCACCTCCAAAACGATTCCTCTCCCAAACGCCGGTAGACACGTTGGCGCCCGTCACTGTGGGAAATGTTGAACCTCGATTCATCTGTAAAGACAACATTTCTCCACCATATAGGAGGTTGGCGAAAATGATTTCGACACCATCTTAGATGGTTGACTCGATGACGGTGTGTCAGGATGGGACGTATGGCAGGGCGTCGTGGTCGAATCCCGTACTGACGTAAACGATTCCTGACAGTGTTGGGATGGATACGGCGCAGTCCAGGAATTGTCTGGGACGTCGTTACTGCCGTTTGGAACCTGTGTCGGAGATGTGTAACTCGAATCCATCTGTCCTGTCTTTGCATCGTTACTCGGGGACGTCCTGAACGTGGGTGGTCGGCAACGTCATTTGTGTTCTGATAACGCCTCACCAATGCCGATATCGTGTTACGATGGCATTGGAAATGTGTTGCCACCTGTTGTTGCCTCATTCCTGCTCGGATCATTCCAATGGCTTCATGACGCTGTGCAGCTGTCAATCTTGGCATGATTTGCTTGTGATATGCTTGTGTCTGCGCCTGAGAATTTTTGAATTTTTTAATGACCACAGATCATGCTTTCCAAAGTGACAGCGAATTTTGAGTTGCACATGCTGTGTACAGCTGCACAGGATGCACGTGCAGTAACACATTGCACGTCCATAGGCCCCCATCAATGACGTCATATCGCATGGCACGTGCATGAGCGTTTGAATGTCTCCAATAATTGCTGTGTTCAAACCTATATTTCATATATGGACGGTGTGCCCTTATATCTATATTTTCTCCGTGCACAGTTTCTTAATGTGGCTAGTATATTTGTGATAAATTTCATATTGATGGTTCATGTTTCAAATATATATTGTGTGTTTTCATTCATGATAACATATATTTTAGAAAATAATCATGGAACATTTGATCTCAATGAAAATATTACAGTGGGTTTTTTTTTTAGTCATTCCCCGCAATACGTTTTTAAGGGGATATTAAACTGGACACTATCCGTCCGTGCAAGATGTCATTTCTGGAGCAAATTTTGAAAACCATACTATATTTCTTCTTTAAACTTGGCACATAGATAGGTCTAGTGGTGAACTGATGATGCCTTTTGATAGTTTTGGATTTTCGACAGAAATCATTTTTTCCTTACTTTGGCTTAGACTGAAAATGGGGGTAGTGCTTCTTTCCGAACAAATCTTGAAAACTGTAAATCTTTCTTCACATAGCTTAGCACATAAATACATCTAGTGGTGAACTGGTTCCTTTTGATAGTTTGTGATTTAAAAAAAATAATCTTTGGGAGACATTCCTGACAAGTATTTATCATTGCAGGGGATATCGATGACTTTGTCCCCTTTTTATTTTAATTTTTGTTTTTATTTTTATTTTTTAAAAGAAATAATTTATTCAGACATATTTCTATCTGTTATTAGTACCATCTAATTCAACATTCTCTCATAACAAAGGATGTTAAATAAATAACCACTGTTCAACACAACTGCATAAAAACAGAAGTGATCGATGGAGAGGCATTGTCAAGTATTGATCTCATTGATCTCCAGGAGTGAAATTTACCACCCAATTTGAATTGACTTTCCAAAGGCTTAATGCCAGGCCGACCTCATTCTCAAACATTATTAATTTCCGCAGGTAATATGCGTAATTATGCTTTCAAGCTTGGAGAACTTGCAATACCATCGATCATTATTAGAGAGTCTATTCATCCATGTTCTACACAGAGGATGTTTCTTTGAAGAACAAACCTTGTGATTGACAATGACTGACTGGGTAGGAGTTAGGAGGGTGTCAATTGCCGATGTGTAATCATGATTGACAGGTGATGGTTTAAACAAGTAATAATGATAGATGTGTTGTTATTGTTAATAATGTCCTGAAGCATTGTAAACAAATCGTTAAATGCCACTGTTCAGCAAACAATATTTTCATTGGAATGCTAAGATTTGTGTTACCCTTTCTTGGTCACAACAAGAAATCTGATTTACTGATATCTGATACTGTAACTGAAAATTAGAAGAATTATCTCCCAAACAATCTGATCTTATTTCTATATATTGAAGATATCTATGTTCAAATAAATGTTTACATTTACATTTCACACTATTGTCTTTCACCATTACTATGTGGTGCAGTGGCCCCATGTTCCCTCCCTTAGGTAGGCCAGGATGTGCTGGGTTTGAATTCCAGATTTGCCCTGACTAGGAACATTTGTCAGCACAGTACTTGTACAAATGATCTCCACATCATTTGCTGAACTGCCAGCAGCCTTCATCTAACCCCACTGTCAGCCATTACAACCCCCCAACCCCACAACCTACATTAAACCACAACAACCTCTACCAAACAGCACAGAACCACAACCTGCGATATAAAAAAAAGTTACCCCATTAGTTACCAGTGTATCTCCCAATTCATTGACTTACTGACCCCATGGGGACCCCGGGTAGGTGTCCCCAGCACCCCATTGTTAGTCGTAGAGGCAACTTAACAGGGAACTTGTGAGGATTCTGGGTTAGAATTGGTTCTTAGCAAGCTGGGGCGGTCGGATAGCCTAGTGGTTAAAGCGTTCACTCATCAAGCCGAAGACCAGGGTTCGAATCCCAACATGGGTATAATGTGTGAGGCCCATTTCTGGTGTCCCCCGACGTGATTTACTGGAATATTGCTAAAGGTGGCGTAAAACCATACTCACTCACTCTCTCTTTGCAAGCTAAACTGGTTGTAATATGCAAATAGATGGATTGAGTGGTCAGGCTCAGTGATTTGAATCTCACACACCCACACATACAGTATTTTATAGTACAGTATGCGCCCAAGCATATTGAGCTCCCTTCTCTAGGGGATGCAGTAGTATGGGACAAAAATTCTTTTTGGATTATAATGTGCTGTAATAATCTACATCAAATCCCTTCAGGTGAAGAAACAGGTGAGAACAAAGTTAGTGAATAAGAAAATGAGATGGAGCGATCAGTTGATCAGTTCACACACGATTTCGCTGAAATTCATACAAACAACATGGAATGAAATTTTGACTAAAATTAATATAATTAGATTACAAGCACAAGTCCAGCTGTAGGGGAAAATATGGCCTATACTCAAGATGATATGGTGCATGCCGTCATGCACACACATAATAAGAAAAGAAACATCAGCAGCATTTATATCAGTTTGTCATTTGATCACAGTGTTTCCTGGTCCCCAAAGCCATTATTCCATCTGAGAACACTTGGCCAGACTGACTGTCACAATCTTCTCTGAGTTGTGGACTTGATACAATTAGTTGTGGCAAACTGTATCTTCCACTTTGTTGTGTCCTGCCAACTTACAATAGAGGTCTGAAATTAACAGTACGGGCCAATTCCATGTCTGTCAATCCTTCAATCTATAGGAATCCCACTGTTATCAGGGACCAACCATTGATATGCTGGGGATAGGGGTGGTGGCTGTTATTTTAACAATAAAATGAAATGTCCCCAAAAATTCTTCATGTGCGGAATACTGATTTTTCTTTTCATCTTTCTTTTCTCTCTTTTCCCGATTAGATAGAAATTCTCTCATCAAGTTGGACTTAAAGCTACAGTCAGACGATTTGTTTTTTCGAATTTGTGGGGCTGCAGGGATTTGTCATCTTCTGATGAGTCTTGTTTAACAAGCGTCATAATTTTGGTAGTTTTTTGTTCAAGAGCAAAGAATAGACATGGATTTTGACACAAGTTCTGTAAAATTAGTATGGTACACCTAGTCACACTTGCTAAATTAAAGACTCTTCGTAATGAAGCTAATTCATTGTGTGAAGTTCAACATGAGAAATTTATTTAGATAAATAAAATCTATGTATAGCACACTGAAATATCTGACAGCTCTTGACCAATCAGGCTGCTCCTGGGCGAAAAACATGTACTTACTTGTCTGGCTGATGTAGGTAGTCCTGGTCAAGAATACAAATCAACAGTCACCTGAGAGTAAGCATGGTTCTCAAACCAAACCAGCCCAGTTAGGAATGAAAAATTCCCCAAGGAATGGCAGCCTGTCAACATTGTCTGAGCTTGTCCGGGACAGATAACGAGTAAAACTCACTTTGCGTATTCACCAATGCATGTACCACTGCACATTCACACAGGGAAGTATGACCGTTCATGCATTTTATGAAACAATATGTCTGCAGAGAAAGTGAAGACTCACCCACCTAATGAACTATTAACGAAGTTTGCGACGATGATCGCAGCTCCTGTTTTCTCAAAGGAGACGAGTCAATCATGTATGACGGCAATCAATTGGAATTAAAAGTCAAGAAAAGTCCTACCTGTCTCTCGTCTCGCTAACGCAAAGTCCCCACTTTGATGATGGTTGTGAGGACCTCGTCAACCAGTCGTGCATTGATTCTGTCACCGGTTATAGAAGTTTGATAATTGAGAATAATAACTACTCCTTCTTAATCCATGGAGACCCAGCTTCTGTATGTTACATTGTGTATCCCAGAGCATGGGAAGTGCTGCAAGTCTAAACACACCTTGGAGAACAACATTGATTAATGGTATTGATTCCTGATATCACCATCAGGGGGCACTGAAGGATTAGCAAATACCCAACATGGTCACTTTGCTTACTGCAGGATGAAATCCTATGTTCCGACTTATATCAGGTCCTGCACATCATCACCCACGTATATGAAAATATTTGTCACAGCTATCAATTATTGATTACAGTTTTATGTCATTGAAGGTCATTATTACATCAATTAACACTTCCTTGAATGTCACTCATGGTGATTCTGTTGTTCATAAACAAACTATTGTATTTGCCCTCAGGATCTATATGCAGATGTTTGGTGCAGATCTTATAGGTTTTCATCAGTGTCACTGAGTGCTGCAGGGATGTGTAGTAGACATTGCTAAGAGACGGATGCTAATCTTGTATTGTCATGCTAATGGTTGTGTAAGCAACGCTTGAATGAACACCATGGAGATGGCATGTGTGCATGACAACCTCAACAAGGCCAATTTCTCAATCAGGATAAAAGTGAATTAGGTGGAATGATTGGAAACAAATGTTCCGGTTGTTAAAGTCAGTGATGATATCCAAGCATTGGTCAACAGCTGGACAATGTTGCCATGGACATTCAATGGCGGCAGTGTGTTACATATTGTCATGTCTTGATAATCAATATTATAAAGGAAATCACTAGATTCTTGAGAAAATTAAGACCTGTCAAAAATGCATCTGGAATTTACTTTGTGAATTTTCTACACATTTCAAAATGTAAATAAATCTGGTGTCAAAGAAACATTCAAACATTGACCTCAAGTCACATGTGATTTGGCCATCATTACAACATAATAATTTACTCTATCAGTCATTGATGTCAACAAAGCGACAGAAACCAGCTGTAACCTTACAGACCCCTTGGTGACAGTGTTGTGTCATCACTTGTCCCACTCTCAGACATGCTGAAAAACAACAGCCTTATTTGAACAGCAGAAATCAGTGATAATATAGAAGCATTACCTCTTTCTGCCAGACTCATATCTTGGAATTGACAAGATTAGTGGCGATGGTGTTGAAGCCTCAATCAAGTGTCTCTGAATGTTGTTAACCATGAACTGAATAATGGTAATTTAACATACTTCCCAGCTTTCTGTTATTGACAGAAACTAATAGGTATGTTTTACAGTGTGTGTATTCCTGTACAGCTTTTAGCTTCATTAAATATTTACACACATACAGCTGACGGTTTGGTAATCTGTTAATGTGTCTGTGTTAGAAGTAAAGAGAGGTGTTAGTTTGTTTCAAATTGTTCACTTTATCCTACCATGGCTTTTTACCCATTTACTAACCCAGTCACTGTTATGCATCTTGTTTGTGAACTTCATCATGGTAATGAATAGGACAATTTTAAACAAATACATGTATGATTTATAGATCTGGCATCACATGTGGCATTGATGTAATCATTTATAAAATATCCACATGGGGATTATACTAGTTTGAATTCATCCCCAGCAACCTCTGCTGGCTGTAAGAGGTGACTAAATGGATCAGATGATCAGACTCGGTGATTTTGTTGTTTGATTGTTATTATATCCAATGGCATGGTCAGTGTCACCTAGTTGGATGAGACCGTCTGTGCCACCTACTGGATTAGACCTTCTAGTTAGTCAACCAGACGTCAGTGCCAGTTAGAGGACCAGACGTCAGTGCCAGTTAAGAGGACCAGACCATTGGTGCCAGTTAGTGGACCAGACGTCAATGCCAGTTAGTGGACCAGACATCAATGCCAGTTAGTGGACCAGACCGTTGGTGCCAGTTAGTTAATCAGATGTCAGTGCCACCTAGTGGATCAGATGTCAGTGCCAGTTAGTGGACCAAACATCACTGCCAGTTAGAGGACCAGACCTTTGGTGCCAGTTGTGGACCTGACGTCAGTGCCACCTAGTGGATCAGACATCACTGCCAGTTAGTTGACCAAACGTCAGTGCCAGTTAGTGGACCAGACATCAGTGCCAGTTAGTGGATCAGCTGTCAGTGCCAGTTAGTGGACCAGACCGTTGGTGCCAGTTAGTGGACCAGACCATTTGTGCAAATTAGTGGACCAGACCATTTGTGCAAATAAGTGGACCAGACAATTGGCGCAAGTTAGTGGACCTGACGTCAGTGCCACCTAGTCGATCAGATATCACTGCCAGTTAGTTGACCAGACGTCAGTGCCACCTAGTCGACAGACGTTAGTGCCAGTAAGTTGACCTGACGTCAGTGCCAGTTAGTCAATCAGACGTCACTGCCACCTAGTGGATGAGACATCAGTGCCAGTTAGTGGACCAGACCATTGGTGGCAGTTAGTGGACCAGACCATTGGTGCCAGTTAGTTGACCAGACCATTGGTGCCAGTTAGTGGATCAGACAACACTGCCAGTTAGTTGACCAGACGTCAGTGCCAGGTAGTGTACCAGATGTCAGTCCCAGTTAGTGGACCAGACCATTGGTGCCAGTTAGTGGACCAGACCATTGGTGCCAGTGAATGGACCAGACATCAGTGCCAGGTAGTGGACCAGATGTCTGTGCCAGTTAGTGGACCAGACGTCAGTGCCAGTTACTGGACAGATGTTTGTGCCAGTTAGTGGACCAGATGTCAGTCCCAGTTAGTGGACCAGACCATTGGTGCCAGTTAGTGGACCAGACCATTGGTGCCAGTTAGTGGACCAGACCATTGGTGGCAGTTAGTGGACCAGACCATTGGTGCCAGTTAGTGGACCAGACGATTTGTGCCAGTTAGTGGACCAGACGTCAGTACCAGTTAGTGGACCAGACCATTGATGTCAGTTTGTGGACCAGACCATTGGTGCCAGTTTATGGACCAGATGTCAGTGCCAATTAGTGGACCAGGGATGGGGTGGTCTGACTTGGTTGATGCATGTCATCGAATCCCAATTGCTTAGATCGATGTTCATTATGTCAATCACTGGATTGTCTGATCCAGACTATTTACAGACCGCCATCATATAGCTGGAATATTGCTGAATGCATACCCTTGCACCATGATTTCTCAAAATGTTCAAGACCTGCATCACTTCTGGCTTGCCTCCCACATCAAACAAAAGGCCAAGCAGGCTGTGATAAAACTGAAACACTGTTTAAAGAGGTGTTAAACCCAACTCACAACAGGGATGGACTGACTTCAAGTATTTATTCAACCAAATAATTCCATGATCTGTATTTGGTGAAATCTGTAACAATATTGCTCAAAGAATGTAATTCGAGGAATTAGGACTATATGCTTAATTAGATTTAACAGATAAGATAAAACTTCACGCAGGAAATGTACATCAAACAGTCACAAATAAGTTTTCATGGAACAAATTTGATTTTGATTTCATTCCCTTAAGTGTGAAGGTCACATTCTTCAATCATGTTGCATCGTCAATTATTTATCGACCAACCACCAATGTTGAAACAGCTGATACTTCCAGCTGTATTGACTGAGAGAGCCATGTTTTATTGGATTATCGTGATTACAGAAGTACACTTCCAAAGTAATTACATCTGCACTGACCATGTGAACGTTACATCATTACCCGTCTTGTATTGATGGAGTCATGAAAGAGTCAAGTGCTTTGCCACTCTGAATATAGTGTCGTCATGCAGGTACCAGCTTCAGGGATATTTGAACATTCACTGTTATTCTTGAGAACAAGTTTTCTTAAGCTATGTGTTCGACAAGTTCAAACAATTCGAGTACTTATGAATTATTGAACAAATGTTCACAGAAAGATAACTTGTAATATGAATCGTAAGAAATTTTGTTTTATTGCCATGCAAGATCTGCTGACTAGAAAATTGAAAAAATGACATTTTTAAATTTTTATATTTGTATTTTGTATTTAATTAATTTCATTGTTAATTTTTTTTCTTGATTAAAATGTATTGTTTTCTTTAAATTCAATTCCGGCAATTTTTAAAAAATAAATTGCAATGGTTTGATGTTTTGACATTTTAATGAAATAGAGTAAAAGTAATAACTGTGATCGATTTGATGAAAATGTCAATACAGTTGTTAGGGTTGAATGGGTAATCAATATCAGAACCCATCCAAGCCAACTTCTTATACACCTTATGGCATCTAGTGACCTAATGTCACAACTTTTGAGGTACAATTGAGCATGCTCTTTCTTTGAAGATTTCAGAGAGCATCATTGTTGTTTGATGAGGTCACAACATTCCATGCCTCAAAAGGTCTTGTGCTAGGTATGTGGAGTACAGTTCCAAATTTGAAAGCAACAGTGGCAAAAATAGTGTCCCATGCAATTCCCTCTTTTGACTTGTGAGATATGTTACTGTGTTTTTTTCTGGTGAAGATTTGACTTGACTGTGCATGTGTTTGTGATGGGTGCCACTGGTGGAGCAAGATACAGTCATTTTCTTTGTGAACACCTGGTATCATCACTACCGGTACTGGAAAGTTTTTCATGAGCACATGCTTATGATGTACCGTATTTTCTTGAGTATAGTGTATAGGGTAGTCATACAATGAATTCTGCTATTGGCAGAGATTTCTTTTCATTATGGAAAGGGTTTTGTCACTTTTTATTTGAATATATAAGATAGCTACGCGATAAATCACAAAGAACAATGAAGGACAAAGCGTGGTATATTTCAGATAAAACATTGCTCTATCGTGACGTCATTCCTGGAGATTTGAACATGTGTTGATAACTTCGTAAATTGGATGACGTTGTTTTTTTAAAGGAAGGTGTCTATTGAGTGTGTTCCCTGTAGATGTGGCTGGGCAACAGAAATAAACGCAATGGCCACATGATCGCATCCAAAAGTGGGAGAGATATGACAATCATTATTGGGAAAAAAGGTACAGATAATTGACATGCAAATTGAGAATATGTGGGACAGACACTGCAGGGAGAATAAACCACCCAGGGGTGCGCCCTTATGGTTTATTCTACCTGCAGTGTTTTATTGAAACAGCAATTAAAGCTGGGAGCACTCCCTTCCACCTTCCACATCTCCCAAGTGTACTGTTGCTTTTATAAATTTTCAAAACTTGTGTGATATTTCTATTTATAAAAGATACATGTGATCATAATGAGAGGTCAAAACTTAGTCAGAAATGCTTTTATTTCTTGATGAGAGATAATTGTTCATCCCAGTATTCTAAATCTGATAAGGAA